GGGGATGCTGCCCCAGCCCCTGCCTCTAATTACAGAGAAGGGGTCGTTGCAGCTGGCCAGGCTCCCTGTGCTATTAGCAGAATTTTCCTGGCGGAAACCTCCCAGGCATTGGTTCCTGCTCTAATGGGAAAACAGCAGCTCGTTGGGTTAATTACAGCTGGTGGTCCCGGTGGGCATCCAGACCATCCCAAGCACTGCATCCTCTGCAAAGGTGTCGCATCCCAGGGATGCTGCTCCATCCCTGCCCCTTGGTTCTCCTGAAGTTTAGTTGGGGTGGTTCAACAGGCAATTCCAGTGTTTACAAAATACTGGCAGCACCTGGATTGGCATTGAAATGGCCAGATTACTTTAAAAAATGAGTTCGTTATTTTGTGCAGAAATACTAAGAACGCAGAAGGACTCTGGAGAAGCTGTTTGATAGGGGATGCTATCCTGGTACTGACAGGAGGCAGCGGGAGAAGTGCAGGCAGCTAGGAACTCAATTTGGCACAGAAGTGCCTGGGAAAAGGCCGTCCCTCTGACTGCTGCATTCAGATATCGGTGGAGGTGTGAGCAGACGGGTAGCTTAATTAGGTAGCTATTGGAAATCCAGTTCATTTTGTTTCTTTTTAATGTCTTTTATGATGGGGTGTTTCGGCACACCTGCAAAATTCAGATGCAGATAGATAGCCTGTCCTCCTCCTCACATATAAATTGGGTGTCTGAAGCTGGCCCCTTTCCTAGGCAGCAAAACTCCTTGTGCTTTCTTGAGTCATCTAGCTAGTCCTCTGAGCTAAAAATGCAGGAAGAGGGCACAGAAACAGAGCTTTTTGGAGTTCAGGTCACTTATATTTACTTGGCCAGGCTGGAGATCAGCCAAAAGCAAAAACAGAATGGAAGAAATGCTGATTGCAACCAAACTCACTTCCTGAAGAAACCATAAAGGGCGAGGATTGGAAAACAGCGAGCTTTCCCCATTGATTTAAGCACAGAATAAATTTCTTCCTGTCCTAAATTCTCACACATCCTTTATAACGGCAAGAGAAAGCAGGTTGCATGGGGTAAGCTCCGAGATATTGAAAGCTGTGGAAAAACCAAAGCCGTAAGGCTGCTGCTTGAGCGTCCCGGGGAGTTTGCTCCTTGCCTGTAACGCTGATCTTTGCAGGTGCGTGTCGGGAGGGTGCTGGTGTCTTCTAGAGACCTGCCCGCATCTCAGCCTGATCCCGGTGGAGTGGGGCAGCTGCCAGCCCTCTTGCACCAGCAGGTCTTCGCTGTCTTTATTTTTGAACAGACATGGGCCGTTTCCATCATGCACAGCTGCGGGAATGCCTGCTGCAACGCCCGGAGGACCCACGGCCCGGCGAGGCGAGGGTTGGCTGGGACCGGGGGAGCCGCACGGCTCCGGTGCTTCCCTCTGGGCAGGTGGGTGCCCTGGAAAGGAAAGGGAAAAGGGAGGGCACCGAGGAAATCGTGGTGCCTGGTCGCAGTTTCTAGGTGAGAGGACCTCCTCTGCCCTCTCCAGTGGCTGAGGTATCACCAGCTCTTTGCAGCCTTTCACTCAGTATTTTCATTAAATTCACAGGGATGTCGTCGTCTGAGACCCCAACCCTCTGCCAAACTTCCCTGATAGAGGTCAACAGAAACATTTTAGGGGGCAACCGTGCAGAACCATGCAGAGTCTGCTTGTGCAAGCTGTGTTTCCGCAGGAGAGCGGGATGAGCCCGAGCTCCTTCCTACCAAGCTCTCGGGAGTCTCCTGTGCCGGCTGCCCCTTCTGCCTGCGGGGCCGAACCGCGGGTTGCTGCAGCCCAGAGCTGGAGCTGGGACAGTGCGGGGTGACGGCCATGGTCCCCTGCCAGGGGACCCGGTGTAGCATCCCTCCTCACCGGGCTGCACGCGTCCCCAGGCGGGAGCCGTGAACGCGACCGGGGCCTGGGAGGCAGCACGGGGGAGAGTCAGAGATGATTAAAGCGCCGGGAGGGAGACTCGCAGGAAATGTGAGAGAGTAAATCAGTCGAGCTTGCCTAAGTTATGACTAAATGGGGAGCATGATACATCTGCAAATATTAGAAATGTGTAAACACAGCGGAGGGAGAGGGATGTTTTATGGAATGATTGAAGGGAATGAACTTTTGGATGGAAAAATGTAGGTCAAGTATGAAGGAAAACTTGTAGGCAGCGAGATAAGTGCTTTCAGCGGTAAAACAACCTCCTCGGGAAACGCGAGGAAGTCCCACTGATGGAGATGTTTAACGCTAAGCCAGATGAGGGCCTGAAAAACGGGGTTGAGTGGGAGGGATGGACTCGGTGTGCCCCATCTGGTCCTTCCACCCGCACCCTCCGGGCTGGCAGACGGGGCTGGGCACGCCAGCGGGACCCGTCCAGCTCCGCACAGGCTGCGCTGGGCTTTGGGGGGGTCCCCTGGGGCTGCCGGGTGGGAGGACGGGTGACCTATGGAGCAGTTACCCTGCAGACATCGCTTTTCTCTTGTGAGGGTCCACGTGCAGCACTTCTGCGTCCCCTTGGCACCGCCCGAACAGTTCGGCCCCCCGGGGAAGCGTGGAGCAGCAGCCTCGCACCGCTGCTCGCCCCAGGGAGGGGAGCACCCACCGCTGGCCCTGGGCAGTGTGCTGGCTGTGGGTCACGCTGCAGATTTGATCCCTTTCCCATTCGTGACCTGTTTGTGGAGGGATGCCGGGGTCTGCTGTTGCATGTGCTGTCACTTAGCATTTGCAGCAGAATTTTTGTGAGCAAATACAACACTTCAAGCTGTACATAAATGATGCACTTCACGTATTTGCTATTTATTGTTCATTACCATGGAGCACTGAAGAGCGTGGGCAAGAGAGAGACTTAAGTGGCAGGATGCTGTTGGTGCTATGCGACTGGCAGACTTGTTGCATAGAAAAAGCCCAAATGATTAATCATGAAAAGTGAGTGGCAAGTTATCCTTTTCTGGTGCGTATCTTAATTCTTGTTTAAATTTGCAGGCTGTTTGTGGTGCAGTTAATGCATCCAGTTTTTAATTCTGAAAACTTTATGACTTGGGGGAGAATTCATCCCACCCAACTTCAGCTACTCAGAACTCAACCAGCTAGTTGGCACTGGCTGTCAGAAATCCTCTACAGTCAATTTAGCTCCTCCAGCCCCTTCGCTGTTGGGTGCTCGGGGTACTCCGGTGCTTTGGGGGGATGTGTTGTTCTCAGGATGCCCTCTCTCTGTTGCCTATAAAGGCAGCCCAAATAACTAACTCAGGTAATTAATAATAATTAAAATAATAACTAATTTTTAGAAGATTGAAATTAAGGAAAGTCACCCCTTCCGAACGCCTTAAATCTCCAATAGACCTAAAAACTCTTCGGAAAACGTGTTTCATAGCAATTTCCACGGGAGTGCTTGCTGGGGGCAGGTCTGCGTGCCTGCCTGCTGCCTGCCCGCTGCCTGCCCGCTGCCTGCCCGGCCCGTGGGGGCTGCAGTGGGGTGCCTGTTCCCTCTAACAGGGAGAAGGGGAAGGCATCGCCTTCAGCCAGGCGAGCCGGAGCCCTTGCCTGTGGGGTGCTCCTGCCCGGGGCCGCTGCCCACTCCCCTGGGGCTGGGTGTCTCGGTTGCCATCCTTGGTACGTCCCTCCCAGAGGCATCCCCATGTTTCAGGCTATCCCGTAGCGTGTCTTTGCAGCTGCAAGCTCTTTGAGGCAGGGACCTCTCCGTTTTTCTCCAGATTACATGTGTGTCTGTAGTCGTGCGTAAGTGACGGCATCGTGTCGAGTCCGAGGACTGAAGTAAGGATGCGTCCTGTCTGGCTAAGTCCTGGACAGTCCTGGACAGTCAGTGGATGGTTTGAAGCCCGTTTTATACCTTCTGGTTCTCCGTCCCATCTATCATAACATGTCACTGTCCACTGAGATGTCTAACCCTCCTTTACGTCCTGTTGAGGTCCCGTGGAGAGCAATGATAGATGCTTTCCCGAAGGAGAAAAGCTCATCACGCTTGTGGAGCGTCATGTGCCACCCCGCTGAGGGGTCCTTCTGCGTCCTCCTCACTGTCCCACCGTCCTCTTGCTCCCGACAGTGTCCCCGAGGGAGCGGGGGCCGGTGGGGAGGACACGCGTTGCAGCTGGAGCATCTCTGGAGCAGGGGCTGTGCTCGTCCTGCCCGTTTCCCCTCCTCCTCCTCGGCCCCGGGGGAATCAGCCCAGGCAGATGCAGATCCGGACCTCGAAGCTCTGCTTCCTGGTTGTGTCCTCACAGGCTGATTGCAGAGTCAGTCCCTTCTCTGGAGCCCTTCCACTTTGTCTGAGTAATTAACATCCAATGGGCCAGGGAGAAAAAGCAGGACTGAATTTCCCACATCCCAGCTGAAAGCCCTGACCACAGGGCTGCTGACTGCTCTGAAAGGCTTGCTCCATATATTGTGTCCTGGTCCTGGTTAAACTTCTTGTGATGAAAGTTTCACCAAAGCTAACACGCTTCCATGAAAATTCTGGTTTTCATGATTTGGCATTTTCCAGGAAAAAAAAAAGAAGCTAAAATAACTTGCCAAGAATTTCCCAACCAGCTTTAACCCTGAGACACTACCATGGTCCAAACAAACGATGATAAGGATCTATGGAAACATGGGGAAACAAAGAAGTGATGTTTTTAAAGCCTCCAGAAAATAAAAATGCAGCTGGAAGGAGGAGCACAGGGTTTTCTGCAGGCACGCCGAGGAGGGCAATTCATTCCCTTTGAATCGCAGGGAGTCCTTTCTAGCTGGTTTCAAAGGAAGTTGGATGTGGTCATTAACATGACCTTAACTCTGTCGCTAGTGCCTAGATACATTCACAGATGAGCTGGAAGTGCCACGGAGGGTCCTGCTCTTCCCAGCGGCGTCATGGGTTTCTTGCAGGCTGAGAAACAAGAGATCTCCCTCCCTTTTATAGCGAGCGAAGACAATTTCCACCTGTGCCTGATGCTCGGGAGATAAAAGGGGGTGCGGGGCATACGGTCTTAACCGAAGCCATCTGGGCTGTGCCAGGCCGGCTGCGATGGGCACGAACACACGGAGGGTGGAAGGGAAGAGCTGGTTTTTGCTGAGGAAGGTCATCTCGGTCAGCGGCAGATGAAAGCCGCTTTCTCTCCCCTGCTCACGAGTGGCTGCGGCAGTGGCAGTGGACCCAAGGGAGGGGGACCGGGGACCGGACGGGCTGGAGAGGCAGGGGTTGTGGCACAGCCTTGGATCTGCAGTCGCAGGTGAACCCCCAGGTTGCTTTTGCTTCTGGAAATGTTGCCAAGCACAGCTCTAACCAGTGGAAAGGCGAGCGGAGCACACAGGGGCATCTGTACCGCTGTTTGGTACATTTGAGTGTCAAAATATGTCTGTAAAATGAACGTGTTCCCCCCAAGGTCTGCCCATTTGAGCCAAAAGAAACAGCACAGCGAAAAGGGCCAGATTTCTATGAATTGGGAAACTCCCCCAGAACCAGGTAGGTGGGTGGGGAAGGCGAGGAAGGTGTTACTTGGTGGCAGAGAGGGACGAGCCTGAGGCTGCAGCGGCTGCGTGCGCTGGATCCCAGTGGTGCCCTCCTGCTTCTGGCCAGCAGCTTTTCCAGCAGGCAGAGACCTTTGGAAATTTCCGATAAAGATCAGCCCACAGTCTGTTTTGCTGTCCCATGTCCCATGTTCAGAGCTGATGGGGACCAAAGTGCTTTAGAGGAGGCGTAAATCCCTACCCTGCCCCAGGGGAGGAGCGGGGTGTCTCGGGGAGGAGGAAGATGCTCTGGGACGGGCGATAAGTGGTGCTTGAATTTTTCACATGGTGGACCAAGCTCTCGGTCTCCCTTCCCCTTTCACCCTGTGTCTCTGCAATGCTTCGGCTACCCCGGCATTTGGGGAGGTGACATGTCCCTCTCGGTGGCTTCCCCTAGGCTGTCTACAAGGCCTGGCTGTGCTCCGAGTATTTCAACGTGACCCAACACCAGTGCCGACACCGGATCCCATGCAAGCAATACTGCCTGGAGGTGCAGACCAGGTGCCCGTTTGTGTTACCGGACAATGACGAGCTGATCTATGGAGGTTTGCCTGGCTTCATCTGTACGGGTAAGGAGGTCCGGGGAGCGGAGCCAGGCTCCTGCCCACCCCAGGGGGCATGGGGGGACGGGGCAGGGCTGGGTGCTGATGAGCCCCGTCGCACTTTGCAAGCCATGGGCCAGATTTTGAAGGTTTTTTGGGGCGGAGGGGGAGGAGGTACAGCGTGGAAACACGTGAAGCACTGCCTGACTGCTGAAACGTGGCCGTCTGGGGGTGAGGTGTACGTGGTTAATGGAGACACGGCAACACAGCCCACAGCTTAGTGCAGGAAATTAAAGCCCTACCTCCAACTGAAAGCTAAAGCAGGCATGTAAGGGGCTGAAGGTAACGGGATTAAAGCAGGGCCGGGACATTTAACCGCTACAAGCAGCATTTGGGGTGTCCTGAACGTGTCCCAGGGCTGCGGTCTCTGCCTGCACGCTGGTCCGCGCAGGCTCGCAGCCCCACTGGGGGCAGGTCCCAGGGGGTCTCTGGGTGTCCCGGTTCTCAGGCTCTGCCTGTCCCGCGGCGTGTGGCTGGCAGGCACCGGGGCTCGGTCCCTCTGCAACCCCGTCCACGGTCTCCCGCTGACCCCCTCCTCTTCCTCCGCTTCCTTGCCGCAGGGCTGCTGGAGAACCAGCTGCCTGACGAGGAGGCCAAGTGCTGCGAGGTGCAATGGGACTCCTGCGACCACCCCCCAGACAGCAACGACAACACATCCCCCAAATCCACAGCGTCAGAGTCACTCCATTTCCACCGCCACGACCCCCACCTCCATCACCAGCGGCAGAACCACTACCACCTCTACCACCACCACCACCAGTATCACCAGCCCCACTCCCCATCCTTGCTGCCAGTCTCCGCAGGGTCTCGCCTCGGCAGCAGCCGGATCAGACTGTGCGTGCTGGTCCTGATGCTTCTCCACACCATGGTGTCCTTCTCGAGCGTGCACGGCGGCAGCGGGGCAGCCGGCGGAGGGCTCAGCCTGGAGGCCCTGCCCGCCCTGGAGGAGAGCGTGGCACGGGACGAGTGATGCGGAGGAGAAAGCCGACCTCCAAGAAGAACGCCAGATCTTTTTCCACTAAGGGGGGCACATGCTATTCCTCCAATGGGAGGCACGGGATTGGGGGTGACGCACACACACACACCCCCGCACATACCCCCAAGAGCTGCTCGCCGCGGGGCATCCCCGTGATGAAGAGTCTCTAATGCGCACAGGGCTGCGGGACTCGGCTTTGAGAAGGGTTCGGTCAGTAGCAGCCGGGCAGCGCGGCGTGCCC